CAGTCTTCAAGCCAGGGCTTAAGGAATTTGCAGCTTACTGCACCGTAATCCTATCTTAACGGAAGGATATTAGAGGTTCATCTATAAGTTAGAATTTTTAAGCTACCTTCAAAATGAATCATTATGGTCAAAAATAGAATTTGATAGTTACAAATAGAAGATTTATTCATGATCAAAAATAGTTAGCATGAGGTTGCTCAAAATTACTGTTCGTAAAAATTTCAAGAAGCTCAAACGTCTTCCTGGATCTGTACTTAGGCTACAATTGTTTTCTCTGGGAATTTTTACTATAGTGTACGTTAGGCAATTTTTTCCTACTGTATTTATTATAGGTGAAGCCCTTGAATGGCAAATAAGGTCAGTATGTGGTTAAATTCTCTGGTTTACTTTTCCCTTAGCTGCCCTGCATTCTTCGACTAACAGATGCGCATATGATCAACACTTTCTCTGAAAATGGGAACTGTTGGAATTTAGCGTATGAATGTTCGGCAACGGAGTCGAGAAAGCTCGTTTGGTGATTTCCTGTTTGATTTTTCGACTTAACGTACCATGAGAGGCTCAACTATGCCGCGACTGTGCTGCATACTGTCAGTGATGGCGGTCACTATATATGATCACATTCAACTCAGTTAAGCTACTCGGGCTTAAAAAATGAGTATTTATTCTTGAAAATACCTGAAAAACCAAATGACAAATCCAAAGATGCTGCGGATTTACACATTTGTTCTTTATGTATCGTCGAACTTGTGATATTTTGTTTCTATTGGTATCGGTGAATGCTTCGTTGTGTAATTATGACAGAAGATGTAACCTATTTTAAGAAGAAACATTTGCTCAAATCAAGCCACCGCTGGATCATTACTCGTATAAGAACGGGACGAGGGATAAAAGAAATGTTTGTTTTTTAATTAAGATGCAAATACTCTGCAAAATGGCCCTTAATTGTTCGGCATCGGTCACATCCTAAGCTTGCTATTCACCCCGTTAAACCACTAACTCAGCCCATTATGATTGTCTGCTGTATAAGATAATCGTAAAGTGCACAAAAGCTACCTATCTATCTGAGGGTTGCCCTTGACAATCATCTTTTTCTCAGTTTTGAGTATTCTTGAATTTCTTCTTGCCTTTCTCCTTTTCTGTTTACACTTTGATCTTTGAAAGCACGTGG